TATATATATATATATATATATATATATATATATATATATATACAAAGTTTGATAATAATGATAATTCTCTGTTTTATTTTGTATCTTTTTTCCTAAGTGTGAATTTCAATCGCAACGTTTTAATTCTAGGAAAAGAACCAAGTTCTATAAATAAATTTGTATAAAATCGGTCTCCAAACACTATATTGTTCATATCTAACTTTCATATCTAGTTAATTACAATAATTTACAAAGATTTATGTTCTGATCTCAGAATAAAAGTACATAAATTTGACTAGATAAAAGTAAATAAATTTGAATAGATCGTATAGATTATAGATTTTAAAAAGAAATTATAAATTCATTTAAATATAATGTTATCTATTCGGTATTTTGTTATATATATATATTATGGTTTTATATTAGTGAGATATCACTATCGCTTAACGATATCTAAACGTACCCTTGAATGATATGGGGGTACTTCATGCGTATCCAAGCACTGAGCATACCACCATACGAGCCACCGAAAACTATAGTCGGGCTACGTTTGTATTTCGGCTGCGATCTCAGATACTGGATAAGATCCACATAATCAGCCAGAGCTTGCTGGGTTGTCAAATATCCGAGATGCTGCGAGTCTGCGAAGGATCTATTCCCATAGGGCAGCGATTCCCCATAGTAACGATGCTCGGCGAAAACCACTAACGCGCCGAATTGCGGTGCGATTTCCCACATAAAGCCCTGCCGAGAATATCATCAAGATTCACGAAATAAAATGCAGAAAGCCATTGAATTCCATTTCATAAAGAAAAAAAACCGTATTTGTGGTGTAATTTGGAGGGAGGGAGGGAGAGGTGAGAAAGAGAGAGAGAATTTTCTGATCAATCTTATTTAATTTTAAGATGTATTTATTAAGTAAAAAATATGGCTATTATCTCAATTAATGTAATAATTAATGTAATCAGTAAATTTGGAAGCAGTTTTTAAATTTAAATTTAAATTAAAATTTTAAATTTATGTAATGAAAAAAGGAAGGAATTATAATTTTAAATTATAATTTTTGAATATTGTACTTCTGTATTTTGTTAAAAAATTTTTTTTTCAATATTATATTAATTATCTTGTACTTTGTTTATAGGTTTATTTTATAGCTATACTTCATAGGGTTATTTTATAGTTTTTATATTTCAAAATAAGCAAGAATCTTAAAAACATTTGTTAGTTATCAAATGCACGATAAAAATGTCCATAAATGCAATCAGCATTTCCGCATTAATTCACTTCGCTGCAGTTAATTAAGTGAATAACGCGATAACAATTATCGTCTAGACAATTGCTCTTACCGTATTTTCTGCGAAAACTTCGATCCTGCCTTCGTTTCCAGTGTAGAAAAATATAGGAGCATTGTCCGCTTCTGCCCAAGTGTCGTTTACGAGATATCTCAATTTAAATGTATCTTGTATAGCAAAGCTGAAATGATCCACCTTGAAGCATATGAGTGATAGTTAATAATTAACTTTAATTATCTTAATTAATTAATAATAATTAACTTTTTTTATTTTTAATGTTTTTGTTATAATTATTAGTCTTACAATTAACAAAAAGAATTAGTAATAACTATATCAAAATTAGTATTAGTAAAACTTAAAATTATTATACAATTAAATATATTATTTTGTAGTTAACATAAATTATTGATAATTATTAAAGATAATTAGTAAGATTGACCAATAATTGACAATAGTTAATCAGTTATAAGTGACGAAATTAAAGGTTGATAATGACGAATTAAAAAACATTGATAACTTTTTGTTTAACTGAAGTTAATTTAATTTTAACGTAATTTCTAAATAAGTTACTTTTTTATTCATATAATTTTTAACATAACTAAATTAATTTCACTAAATCATTATCAATCAATTTCAACTTAACTTAGTTAAAAAATAAATTAACTACTTCGTCTTGGTAATCAATGTACAATTATCAATTTTTATAAACAAACAAGAAATTAATAATGCCTAATAGTTAATATACGGAATTAAAGATAAATAGCTTCATAATTGATAAGAAATTAGCAAAAGTATCTTGTAATTCATCAGCGCAGGCACCGGTCATGTGTGCGATAACTTACGCGCACATCGAACGTTTTGGTCTTATATTTGTATCGCGGCGACGTGAGCACATCATGAGTGACCTCTTGGCTTTCGGTAAGTCGGTCCCACAACCTCAGCTGGACCGTCGACTGGCACAGCGCGGCCAGCACGACACAAAGTAACGGTAACGTCCGTAGCGATGTGCACATGGTGCAGCCACGAGGAAATCTGCGTTTTGACTGGAGAACACTCGTCCTCGCTTGTGTCGCGCCACTTTTATGTTCTAGCACAAAATCCAAACTCCTCCGCTCCGCTACTACCTCCCGCGTTGCTGGTCCTGCGCGATTCGATACATACGGGGTGTCGCGGAACGAAGAGATCAGCTAACATTTCTAGTTACAGAATCGCGCTACTGTCCGCTTATCTGCGTGTTGGACCCTTTACAAGAATTACAATTTTCTTTCTTTCTTTTCTCTTTGCCTTAATGAGACACTTAACACACACACAAACACAAGGTTATAGAAGTGAAATAATGTAACAGTACATTTCGACAGCGACATAAATTCTTTATTACAAAAAATAAATTAATTCACTCTATATACAAAAATACAATAACTAATTAATATTAATAATACTTCTCTATGTCCAGTGATGACACTGGTGAACTAATGTTACCTATTTTAAACATACGACACGTGATCCATCAACGTCGGAAAATCCTACCAAGATCTTTCACGTTAAAAGATATACACAGAGATTTGATTTATTTATATTATACTCCGCGATCTTTATAAGCCGATACGTAATTGGCCATTTTCTGAGATTGCACACAATTGCATAATAAAATAAGTAAGTAGATAGATAGAGAGAGAGAGAGAGAGAGAGAGAGAGAGAGAGAGAGAGAAGAGAAGAAACAAGTAGTTCAATCGACTTATGGCGTCTTGTTTTCTTCTTTTTTTTTTTTTTGATTAAATGTTTCAATTTTTCAATAAAAAAAGATAAAAATACGCTTTAAATCTAATTATTACAATTACTTAAATTTTAAGTCATTTTCAAAACTAAAAATAGATCAATGTAGATCTTTGTTACTCAGTCCTGCTGTTTAACATGTTAAATGTTTCATACAATTTAAATTTCATCTAGTCAACGAATCATACACAAATTTCATATAGTATGGATCGTATTTGTACAATCTTGATATTATTTGTGTTCCTCTTAGCGCGCTGTGTTATACAAGACAAACAAATGTGTAATATTTGAGGATAAATATTGTTAAAATAGCGAGAATAAGATTTCAATTAGATGGAAAGGGGACGAAGGGACGAAGATTTATATTTCTCTTAAATTCTATAATTTGATTTTCTCTCTTTATCACTTACTTCTATAAGAAAAGAGAGAAAAATTCAATAGAGAGATCCAGTCTTGCATGTTATGTCATTATAATGCTCAGCGAAAATACGTGACTAAAGCTTTCCCTTTTGTTCACGAGCTTTTGTGTATCGTTTCGTCTTAAATTTTTCAGACGAGTTAAAAAATTGTAATATACAATAGAATATCTCTATTCTGTTTCCCTTTATTCGAATTCCCTTTTAATTTAGAACAATTATCTCTCCTTAGTAAGCTAGAATTCTCTTACACTATTACCATTTGTTACGTGACCGTATGATATATGAATGAGAAAAAATAAATAAAAAGGGAATTCAATCCCGAAGATTCTTCAGAATAGAGATTCTATCGTACAATATTGATTAACGTAAAAAATCAGTTCCTACCGACTAATAATATGCATGTTATTATATTATGATTAATCAGATAATTGTACTTCACATGTTTATAGCTTTAGAGCTACATTAGCGTCCACTGCTTTGTTGAGACTCAAGATTGGCAAGCAAACGCGGTAATAAATTTTACCAGTATTATGATTCATTTTACTTATATAATTGGTCCCTAACGTAAAACTCCGCTAATGAACTTGTTGTACAATAATGTGCTTTAAATTAAAGACAAAGAAGGTATCTAGCCTCTGTAACTACCACTTTATCTTAGCCGGGAAGAAAGCTATATTGCATAATACATTTAAAAAATACTTAGTACGTACTTCAACATTTATCTTTGTACTTCAGTGTAAGTCGCATTTGTTCCATTTTTCCGGCATGCTGATTCTCAAACTTTTTAACTTTCGCGGCATACTGCTCATCGTGCGCCAGAAAGTTTTGTTGTACTTCTTCGATGGCCTTTTTGTATCCTTCCTCGATACGTTTACATTCATTCGACAGAAACTCCCGATTTGTTTGCGCATATTTCTTGAAATTCAAACGCGTTATATTTAATACAATATATCTTTCGTATGGAAATAATAAACAGATAATCCACAATTATACGTACCTTATAATTATCTGCAGTATCTTTCGCACTTTTATATTTGTGCTTCAACAAATGTAGATCGTTCTGCATGCGTTCCTTCTTATCGTTTAATATCTTGATCTCATTGTTCAATTCAATCTCGGTGGATTTTAATTTTTGTATCTCGTCGTCCTTTTCTGTCTCCTTAGCTTTACTCTCTTTAAGTTCAGCGATCCATTTTGTCATCATCTGAGCCATGCAGTTTCTATCATCCTCAATTTGATCCTCCTTCTTCTTCAAATCTATCTCTAATTTATCAATCTGCACCTTTCGCGCTTGAAGCTCTCGAGTGCAAATCTCCAGTTTGTCTGCTATGATTTGACTGATTCGATTGATCTGATTAGCCTTTACTTTCTCCGCTTTTATTGCTTTTTGCAAAGTTTCCAGCTCCTGATTTTTCTCGTTGCATTTCGTTTGTAAATCCAATACGATAGTTTTATATTTTTCCTCCAATTCCTCCAGTTCCTTTCTATTGTGCTCTCCAATTCCTCTGAGTTCCTTCGCTACTCTTTGTTCCATCTCTTCCCGCACTTCCTTTGCCATAATCTCCTTCATCTTTTGAAAGTCCGTACTATCGCCCGTACTGCGAGGAGACAGATTCAATTCCGCGGATACCTTATTTTGGCTTTTGACATATTGCTCGAATTGTTTGGCTTGATTTCGCAATTTCAACACCAGTTGATCTCTCTCGTCTTTTATCTTTTCAAAATCCTTCAACAGTCTACTCAGTTTTTCGTCCTTGCTTCGTAAATCATGCTCGAACTGTTGTATCCTCTGTTCCAATGATTCGTTTGTACGTCCTTCTTTTGAGCTATTCAGCCTGGATAATTGTGCAACTAAATCTTTGTAACGAGAGAGTTCCTTCTCTAACTCGCTCTTTGATGTGATTTCATCGTTTCTCCGTAACCTTCCTTCAAAACTGCTAACTTTCCTTCTCACGTCGAAAAGTTCTGTTTCCAGCACAGAAATCTTTTCTTTACAAGTGTTTCTTTCGCTGAGCAGACTGTCACATTGATTTTTCAGTGTCTCGTTCTCCGCTTGGAATCGCACAATCTTCAACTTTACGTCATCTGAATCTTCCAACTTCGCGGTACGTTTTAGATTTAATAATTCCAAATCTAATTTGGAAACTTTTGCAAGAAGATCCTTTTTTTCACTGACGACTTTCTCGTATTTTTTCTTCCACGATTCCTGCGCAATCTCCATTTGTGCTATTTTCAATTTAGCATCGTCCAATTCGGTTTGATAATCGGATAATTTTTTCTGTTCTTGCACAGCGATTTGAAGCTTTTCTTCTAAACGTTTGCAATCTTCCTCCAGCTATTACGAAACGGAAAAATATTATTTAGAACCATGAGTAATATTTTTAAATTAAAGTATAATTAGATATAAAAACCAAGTATAAAATGTCCACGTACAATTTTAAAGTTTTGAAATTTATAAAGATTTATTTATACCTGATTAATTTTTTCTAGGTGTTCAGAACAATGATCTGGTAAAAGAAAACTTATTTCTTGATTTGGATGTGCATTTCTAAGTTCGTGTAAAGCTTCTTCTTTCGCTAAGAAAATAAAATATCGATTAGATTAAAATAAATTTTCCTTTTAAAATATTTATCATATTTTCCACATAAAGTATTTTGCCTATTGCCTTTCTAATTCAATACTTACCTCTTTCTATTTCTAAATGTATCTTTCTTACATGATCCTCCTTCTTTCTTCTTTCGTACATTAAATCTTTTTCCAGTTCAATTATTTTACTCTTGAAGTCTTCGCATTCCTTAGTCAATTTATTACACAATTTATTCTGCGTTTGCAATTCATTCTCCAACTTTTCCACGTTTTTGTGTTGAGATTCCATTGTTGTATATTTATTTTTCAGCATTTTAATTTCATGTTTATGTTCATTTATTAATTGTTCCTTCGTTCCGCAGACGTCTATGTACAATTCTTTTACACGATCTAACTCTTTTTGTGTTTGCTCTAATTGTACGCTAGAAATAGAAACTTTATTTATAATATTGCGCAACTTATTAATAACATTTTTACTAAATTAAGTAGAAATTAAAAGCAAACAAAAATAGCTAATTCTTACGATAATTGTACTATTTCCATTTGTGCTTCTTGCTTCACTCTTTCCACAGCTTTAGCGTGTATCTCTAAGTATTCTTTATTATATTCATCAATAGCTTCTTTTTCTTGTTGCTCCATGGTTTCCTGATGCATTTTTTTAAGTTGTTCTTGATTAACAGCTAAAGCTTCCTCTAATTTTTGTTCTAAATTAATCTTCTCATCACGCATCAATTCATATTGTTTCTTCACATCATTTAAATGATCCGAGAGTTTCTGTATTTTAGCGTTTGCTTTTAAAGCCTCATCTGTTAATACAGATCTCAATTCCTGCTCTAATTCATTAATTCGCTTGGCGTATTGTGCCGATTCCTGTCGACACGTGTCAGCTAATATCAAAGCTTTGTTCAATTCTTTCTCTTTCTGTGATAGAGTATTCTCTAAACGATTTATTTCTTTCCTTTTTACAGCTTGACCAGCTATACATCTAAACAAAAATAACAACATGAAAAATAAACGGAATGATTAGCACAATATCTAGTAAGAAATAAGATTAAATGGGAAGTTTAGATGATCTACCTTTGTAGTTCACCTCTCAATTTGTTTGTGATGTCATCAACGGGTTTCGATTTTGATTTATTATAAAGTTCGCCTAATTTCATCTGTCTGATTGAATCAGATTCATCCTCTAGTAACGAATCGTATTGTGCTATATCGCTTTTCGCTACCTCCAATTTGTTCTGTTAATTAACAAAGATTTTATTACTAAATCAATATTTCACACACACACACACACACACACACACACACACATATGCGCGCGCGCGCACATGTGAATATATATATATATATATATATATATAATAATACTACTTAAATTTTTAACTACC